TGTGAACTGTCCTGAGGGCTCTATCTATCCCCTGAGCCTGCCTCTATAACCCCTGCCTGACCTATCTCCTGGATTTTCTTGGATATTCAGAATTTTAGTTAAATGCTAAAAGATATCCAAAAGTCTCTGAATCTTGTAACTGAGGCCTTATTTGGTATGATACTCCTCTGGTCACTGTGACAAAATACCTGACAGAAACAATTTAAAGGAGGAGAGATAGCTCAATGGTTAAAAACACTGGCTGTTCTTGCAGAGAACTGGAGTTCAATTCCCAGCCTCCACATGGTGGCTCATAACTGTTTTATAACCGTTGTATTAGTCAGGGTTCTCTAGAGGAACAGAACCGATAGAATGAATGAATGAGTGAATGAATGAATCCATATCATCAGTTTCTCTATCTGGGGTTTACTAGAATGGCTTACAGGCTGTAGTTCAGCTAGTTCAAAAATGGCTGTTTATCAATGAAAGGTGTAGAATCCAGTGCTGTTCAGTCCATGAGGCTGGATGACTCAATTGGTCGGTATTCACCAGAATCCAGAAGAAGTAGGCTCTAATGCCCATGAAGGAATGGACTTGCCATTGAAAGTAAGCAGGCATGTCCTTTATATAGGCTGCCAGAAGAAGGTGTGGCCCAGATTAATGGTGGATCTTCTCACCTTAAAAGATCTGGATTAAATTCCCTCATAGGTATACCCGGCTGTTTGGGTTTTAGTTAATAACAGATGTAGTCAAGTTGACAACTAAGAATAGCCATCACAACCTGCGAAACACATAAATAAATCTTTAAAAAAGGGAAAGATTTATCTTGGCTCACAATTTCAGAGGTTAATCTTTGATGACAGCCGGGCGTTGGTGACGCATGCCTTTAATCCCAGCACTTGGGAGGCAGAGGCAGGTGGATCTCTGTGAGTTCAAGGCCAGCCTGGTCTACAAGAGCTAGTTCCAGGACAGCCTCCAAAGCCACAGAGAAACCCTGTCTCGAAAAACCAAAAAAAAAAAAAAAATCTTTGATGACAGGGTAGATATGGTGACTGAATTAGTTCTCTCTCTGTCAGTTGGAACTTGCAACAGCATGTTCACGTCTCTGCAGATCATGAAGAAGATACTATGGTTAGAAGTTGGGCTGTATACTCTTCAAGTATTGCCTACATCTGCCAGCTGGGCCATATGTTTTGAAGGTTCCACAGCCTCCCAACATAGCATTATCAGTTGGGGAATCACATGCTAAACACAATCCTATAGGGCTCATTTTAAAATTCATATTGTGTTTGGGGAAGAGGATTCTGCAGCTGTAGTTAAGGAGCTTGAGTTACTCAAATGGTCTCTAAATCTCATAACCAGTATCCTTAAAAAAAATACCAAAGAGGGGCTGGAAAGAGTTCTCAGTGGTTAAGAGCACTGGCTGCTCTTCCAGAGGACCCTGGTTCAATTCCCAGCACCACATGGCAGCTAACTACTGTCTGTAACTCCAAGACCTGACATCCTCACAGAGACATACATGCAGGCAAAACACCAATTAAAAATAATTTATGCCAAGCGTTGATGGCGCACACCTTTAATCCCAGTACTCGGGAGGCAGAGGCAGGAGGATCAGCCTGATCTACACAGCGAGTGCCAGGATAGGCTCCAAAGCTACACAGAGAAACCCTGTCTCAAAAAAAAATCATAAATAAATAAACTATTTTAAAAAATACCAAAGGGACTGGAGAGTTGGCTCAACAGTTAAGAATACTTGTTTCTATTTCAGAGGACCCAGATAAGATTTTGATGGCTCACCACCATCTGTAACTCCAGTTCCAGAGGCTCTGACACCCTCTTCTGGTCTTTGCAGGATCATTGTATGCATGGGTGTACAGACATACATGCAGGCAAAACACTCATGCACATAATAAATTAAAAAAGTAAAAATATCCCAAAAGTAAGAAATCAATACCAAAGAGGAGGAGCAGAGTCACAGAGGGAAGGAGCCAGAGCCTGGAGTGTGACATGGACTCAAGAAACAGGAAGGACAGAAGGACCCTCCTCAGAACCTTTGGAGGGAGTGCGGGCTGGTTGATGGGGGAAGTCCTGTGTATATGTCAATAGAGCACTGTTGGCCAATAGGGAACCAAGATAGGTGGGACTAGGAATCTAGGAGGACTCTGGGTAGGAGAAACACAGGAAGTCAAGATATAATGCCATGGGGTAGGAAGCCCAGAAACTTCTCCGGTAAGAGAAATACTTATATTAACAATTATGGGGTAATTACTTAAGTCAGAGCTAGCCAGTAAGAAACAAGCAAGGCCAACAGCTTCATAATTAATTTGGGACTGATGCTGCTCTGGAACCAGGCTGGCGGGAAGGCTTCTCCTTACAGCTGGTGACACCACATTTCACAATCTTGACCTCAGAAGTATGGGAGAATAGGTTTCTGGAAGTTTTGTAGGTTTTAATTTTTTGAGATTGGATCTTGTTCCATAGCTAAGGCTGGCCTTGAACTTATCCCTTTCCTCAGCCTCTAGAAGGCAGGGAATCCAAGTCACCGTCACATTGGTGATTGTTTCTATTGTTGAGAGACACCTACTTGTAGCAGATTATGTGGCAAACACAGAAAAATAGTAAAGTTATTGTCATGTAGAGTATTCAGCACCTTTGGACAGGAGTCTGCACGACAGTAATCATGCTCCATGACAGCAATTGATTAGCTGGTTTGACTCCGAGATGCCAGACATCTGGGGTACCTGTCAGCTCTCTAATGCCCCCTCTGGTTTGATCAGCCTTGGATAGGATAGGATAGGATAGGATAGGATAGGATAGGATAGGATAGGATAGGAGGCACTAAGGGCAATGTCCAGCAGCCTGAGGCCTTTTAGACTACCCATCTTATCCTAAGCTCTGTGGCATCTAGACCCTACACTGTGCTTAAGTATGTTAGGGCATGCTGGAGTCTATTGGGGTGATTTGAGATGTCCTGGCATATGTCAGGATGTGCTTGACTGATGTGCTGGGGCATATTAAGGTGTCTAATGTATTGGGGTTGCTGAGGTGTTCTGGGGTGAGCTGAAGTAGACTAAGGTGAGCTAGGGCTTGTTGGGGTGAGCTGAGGTGGGCTATGATAATCCAGGTGTGCTCCTCTGGCACCCAGCCATCCTTGAAGCTGTGTCAGCAAACCTATAGACTGGAACGGTCTGGGCTGTCCCAACACTTTATCAGTATGCTACTGATAGTGGAGGTGTGAGGTTAGGCCAGCACCGTCCTTCCCCTCAGCAGGGCTTCAACCTAGGTAGCGCGGCCCAGTGAGGACTTGACTTCTTCCAGATTGCTATATGTAACATTCTCAGAGGGAGTTGAAGTCAGACATTGAAGAAAACAGGCTGGTGAAATTGCTGCTTGATGTCATGGGAAGGGACACAGCTCCTTGGTGGAGCAGCGGCTTCCGTATCTGTGAACCAAGGGTGATTTTAGTACCTTCCCTTGGTCACCTTTGAGACTTGATAAACACCTGTGATGCTGGCACATGTCCTCAGCATCACCAATGGCCAAAGTGGGACTGTCACACATTGGATGAGACCCCACTGCTGACCTGCAAGCCATTCCTTGCAATCTGACCTGTTTGAAATACTTTTTGGTTTTATGTGAATTCATCAACTCAATAAACATTACTCTCCATCCCTGAAAGCCTTTAGCAATTATTCAAACACAGCTGTGTGGTGCATGTAATTTAATCAGCCACAGGGCTTGGGAAACACAAGGTGGTTTGAGAAGGCCACCATGGGTGCAGATCTGCCCAGGAGCAGGGAGGAGGACTGTTCTGGGCAGAGTTCCTCCTAGGCACAGGTGTCTGCCAGATGTCTGTGTGTGAGCCAGATGCTTCCCTGCTGTGACCCAGGTCACAAGCCCTGTGTCCTCAAGAAACCTGGAGGGAATTAAAGGCCTCGGCAGGTGAGGACATTCTTCTACTTGATCCTGACCCAGCTGGCTGGGCCTCTGAGCCTGTACAGGACAGGACATACTGGGTCCACAACCTGTGGAGGCCTGCCCTGACATCCAGAGTTCCAGAGGCTCTCCAATGTATTTCTTTTTAGGTCTTATTCCAAATGCTGTCAGAACTACTCCATTTTCTATCTCAAGTGGCGAACCTTTTGATTTTGTAGTTTGGGGACAAGGCTGTCTATGGCTTACAGGCATCTGCCATTACAGACGGGAGTCATCACATCGAGTTCTAGTCAAGTAAACATGTGTTCTCTTCTTGCAGTGCCTGGTCTCCGGCGCTCTGGGAAGTGCTTCCCAGTCACACCCACCTGTAGCACAGCCTTCCTTGCTTGCATCAATGTGGATGTAGCATTAATGTGCCGGCCTCCCAGTCACGGTACAGGTCCAGAAGTAAGACCCCAGAGGACATGAACTTGCCCGAGGACACATTACCAACCAGAAAAAGGCAGGGAGAGCTGGGCGTGGTGGCGCATGCCTTTAATTCCAGTACTCGGAAGGCAGCAGCACAGGGAGTTCGAGGCTAGCCTGGTCTACCTCCTGAGTTCCAGAACAGTCTGGAACTACACAGTGAGACCTTGTTTCAAAGGAATCCCGGAGCCACTGGGGCAGGTCGCAGCTCCTGGGCTTTGCCACCCGCCTAAGACCTGGAGGTCAATGTCATACCCTGTGCCTGCGGGCACACACAAGGGGGTGGTGCTCCTGCCGGGGGCGGGGTCTGCGGCGGCGCACATTGCTCGCGGGAGGGAAGTGAGAGAAATGGAGGGCGGGAAGTCCGGGGGCCACGCCTACAACAAGTCAGGTGGCGGCGGCACCCCGCCCGGCGGTGCAGCTGAAAATCTGCCGCTTGCGGCGGCTTCCTCGCGTCCGGGCGCGAGCGGGCTGCTGACGGCTCGCGGGGGCGGTCACGGCTCGGTGGCCAATGAGGGCGGCCGGAGGGGGCGGGGCGTCGGCTGCGGTTTTGTTCCGAGGTGGCTGAGGCGCGTAGTCCCCACGCGCGGAGCGCGGCCTGCGCGGCTGGCGCCCCGCCCCACTTACGGAGCCCGGAGCTCGCCGGGCTCGCGGAGAGTGCTCCGGGCGGTGTTTCGCCTGAGCATCGCCGCAAACTCCAGCCGCCAGAACGCGGTGTCCTTGTGCTGTCAGTCCGGAGTGTCCGCACGTCGGCCGGCACCGCGCAGCCGCACGTCGAGAGCCCGGTGCATCGTCGCAGCGCGCGGAACACAATCCCCCGGGGCCGACAGGCATCCCAGCACCTTAAGGACGCCGCGCGCCCCGGGCCCAGCACGGCCCTCGTGTCCCGCGGCCCGGACACCCCAAGGCCCCCGGGGACCCAGCACCTCAAAGGCCCCTGGGCCTCAGCTCTCCAGAGCCCCCTGGCCCCAGATCTCCGGAGTCGCCGCTCGTCCTGGGACCCCTCCAAGCAGGCCAGGCCCCTAGCACTCCTGCACGCCGGGCGGTAAGGCCTGCCTGCAGCGCCTGGGGCGCGCTGCCACTTGTTGAATCACTTCTCGTGTTGACTTTGAGACCTGTTGTCGCCATGCTGAGCCCGTGGGCCCCTGAGCCCACTGTCTCTGGGACTCAGTGATTGTTACTATGTAATCAGGAAGCAGGAAGTTTGACGAGATATGCTGGTTCCTTAAGGGAATCCTGAGAGCAGATACTCCCCAAGGACTTGTGGAAGGTGACTTGGAAGTGTATTCCGAAGCCACTTTTCTGCGTAGACTGAAGGGTGTGTAAGTCCCTTTAACACTTCCTGTGAGTGGAGGATGGAATGTGGGATGTATACTGTGTATTTTGCCGCGCCTGATTGGCTGTTGCCTTACTTTGTAGGTTGGATTTTATTTTCCTTTAGTCTTAAGTACGGATCTGAAATCCATCACTCCGATTTAAATTCACGGTTGATTTTTTTTCATTATTGTATATATCTTAAGTATGAACCTAAGCTTCCATTTTTTCCCCCTTTCTGGCGTTGGGATTCTATCCCTGGGCCTGGCATACCTACATCTCCAGCCCATTCCTTAGTTTATAATAATGTCTCAACTCTGAGAATTTTAAAGATGGGTTTGTTTGACCTTAAGAGTATTCTTTAGTTTTTTTCTGCTTGAGATAGGGTTTCTCTTTGTAGTCCTGGCAATCCTGGATCGCTCTGTAGACCAGGCTGACCTCAAACTCACAGAGATCTGCCTGCTTCTGCCTTCCAAGTGCTGGGATTAAAGAGTGCACTACCACCGCCCAACAAGGATGGTTTTCTTTTTCTTTTTCTTTTTTTCTTTTTTGGTTTTTCGAGACAGGGTTTCTCTGTGGCTTTGGAGGCTGTCCTGGAACTAGCTCTTGTAGACCAGGCTGGCCTCGAACTCACAGAGATCCGCCTGCCTCTGCCTCCGAGTGCTGGGATTAAAGGCGTGCGCCACCAACGCCCTTCGGTTTTCTTTTTAAATTCTAAATGTTACTCCAAAATGGAAACTGAAATTGTTTAGAAACTGGGTTTTCTTTCACAGGTTTGGTTAGTGCAGACCTGTATGTGGAAGTTCTTTCAGACTCTCCTGGGCTTGGCACCTAGTTCCCTCCTTACTCCTCTGTGTGTATTGGGTATAGCAAGCCTGGTCTCCTCCCATGGCTTGATAAACGATTCTTCCAGCTGTTCCTAGAACTTAGATCTTGGTTCTGGAACTTTCCCTTCTGGTATAGGAGCTATGGCTTGGAATGGCGCCACACTTACATGGCTTTTTAGTTTGTCTTCACTTAGGTTGAATTTGACAACCATTGAAGAAATAGTGAGACAGTTTTAATTGCTACTGTGAGACAGAGAAAATGCCAAACAATATACATTTTTTTAAATTGAAACATTTATTTCTTGTGTATGGGTGAGCGTTTGCCTGAGTGTGTGTCAGCATCACATGCATGCTTGGTGAAGAGGGTGTTGGTTCCAAGAAAGTGTAGTTACATACAGGTGGTTGTGGAGACACCATGTCATCGCTAGGGATCTAACACAGGTCCTCTGCAAGAGCAGCTAGTGCTCTTAACCTCTGAGTTATCAATCCCTCCAGCCCAAACAGCACCCCTCTCCCCAGGGTTTCTTTGTGTAGCCCTGACTGTCTTGAACTCAGAGATCCGCCTGCTCCAGAGCCTGGATGCTAAGCCTTTTGAGTTATATGACTAATGCATAGTGTTAATGGGTTTTCCATTATAATGCTAATCGGAGTAGTTTCAATCCCTCCCTCTCTCAGCCACTGATCACCACTCATCCTTCTCACTGTAGTTTTGCCTTTTCTAAAATGTCATACATGTCATATTGACTTCTTTCACTTAGTAATATGAGGCTTAAGTTTTTTCTATGTGTAACTAGCTTGGTACCTCACTTCTTTTTTTTTTCAAGACAGGATTTCTCTGTATTGTTTTGGAGGTTGTCCTAGAACTCACTCTGTAGACCAGGCTGGCCTCGAACTCACAGAGATCCACCTGCCTCTGCCTCCTGAGTGCTGAGACTAAAGGCGTGCGTCACTAACACCTGGCTTAAAGGTTTATTTTTAATGTGTGTATTTTGTGTGTGTGATTATGTGCAAGTGTTGTAAGTACAGGTACTGGAGGAGTCCAGAAAAAGGTGTTGGATCACCTAGAGCTGGAACTAGAGGCGGTTGTGAGACACTCAATGTGGGTACTAGGAACTGAGCTCAGGTTCTCTGCAAGAAGGTATTCACTGGCTGCTTTTGTGTCAACTTGACGAATGGGAAGAGGGAACTTCACTTGAGAAAATGCCCCTCCTAGATTGGCCCTGGGGCAGTCCTTTTGGGCATTTTCTTGGTTGATGATTAATGTGAGCAGTGCCACCCCTGGGCTGGTGGTCCTGGGTGCTATAAGAAAGCAGACTGAGCAAGCTATGAAGAACAAATCAGTAAGCATCGTGCCTCTGTGGCTTCTGCTTCAGTTCCTGCCCCAACTTATGGACTGTGATGGAGAACTGTGAGCTGAAATAAACCCTTTCTTCCCCAGGTTACTTTTGGCCATGGTGTTTTATCATAGCAGTAGAAACTCTAAGACATGTTCTATTTTTGTTGTTTATTTTTGTTTTTTTGAGACAGGGTTTCTCTGTGTAGCAGGCTGTCCTGGAACTTGTTTTGTACCCAGGCCAGCCTTGAACTCACAGATAACCACCTGTCTGTGCCTCCCCTAAGACATGTTCTTTTTTTTTTTTTTTTTTTTCTGAGGACAGGATTTCTCTGTAGCTTTGGAGCCTGTCCTGGAACTCACTCTGTAGACTAGGTTGGTCTTGAACTCACAGAGATCTGCCTGCCTCTCTCTTCCGAGTGCTGGGATTAAAGGTGTGTGCCACCAACGTCTGCCTAAGACATGTTCTTAGCTGCCGAGCCATTTGTTCAGTCCCCAGTGTCATATACTGAAGGGCACCTTGGCAATTATTTATTTTTGAGGTAGGGCCTCATCATGTAACTCTGGCTGGCCTGAAACTCACTATGTAGCTCACACTGGCCTTGAACTACCAGCAATCTTATGCCTCTGATTCTCCAGTGCTGGGATTAAAGTCCTGTGTTACTATGCTTGGTGATTGTGCCTATTTAAAGTCTTTACTAAAATTAAGACTATGAGCCGGGCGGTGGTGGCGCTCGCCTTTAATCCCAGCACTCGGGAGGCAGAGGCAGGCAGATCTCTGAGTTCGAGACCAGCCTGATCTACCTATCGAGTTCCAGGACATGGTCCAAAAAACAATACAGAGAAACCCTGTCTCGAAAAACCAAAAAAAAAAAAAAATTAAGACTATGAATATTGTCATCTAGGACAATGGTTCTCAACCTGTGGGTTGAGGCTGCTTTGGGGGTCAAATGACTCTTTCACAGGGGTTGCATATCAGATATCCTGCATATCATATACTTACATTGTGATTCATAACAGTAGCAAAAATAGTTATGAAGTAGCAACGAAAATAATTTTATGGTTGGGAGTCACCACAACATGAGGAACTTTATTAAAGGATTGCAGCATTAGGAAGGTTGAGAACCACTGGTCTTTATGATTTTTAAAAATTATTTTGCACACATGGCTGTCTTGCTTCCTGTATTTATGTTTGTGCATCACATGAGTACAGTGTCCTTGGGGACCAGAGAAGGCATTGGACCTTTTAGAATTGCAGTGATAGGCAGTTGCTGCCTTGTGGGTGTTAGGAATCAAACCTAGGTCCTTTGGAAGAACAGCCAGTGCTCTTAACCTCTGAGCTGCCATTGCTTCAGCCCTGTTTTAGAGTGTTAAACTCCACATTTAGGTCCATGATCCTTTTGGATTTCTTTTTTGTGAAGGGTATCAGGTCTATGTCTAGATTATCTACCCCCCCCAGTCTCACCCCCAGGCAGGGTTTCTCTGTGTAGCTGAGAACTGCCCTGGCTGTCCTGGAATTTGCCCTGTAGACCAGGCTGGCCTCAGATCTACCTGCCTTTGCCTCCTGAGTGCTGGGATGCCCAGATCTAGATTCCTTTTTTTTTTTTTTTAAACAGGTAGATATCTAGTTGTCCAGTTCTGTTTGTTGATCAGACTCTGCTCCTTTGAATCAGATTTTGGGGCTTTGTCGGGGATCGTTTGATGGATTGATGAGCTTCTGTTTCTGCTGTTTCTGCGCTTTGTTCTGTCTGTTCTTTTGCGTATAGTACACTGGCTTGGTTGCAGTGCTGTAATAAATCCCAAGTCAGGTAGTGTTAAGCCACTAAATTTGTTCTTCTGTTTCAGTACATATTGTCTGAGTGTTTGCCAATTCGGCATAAACTTTAGAATCACTTAGCCATGGTTGTATACTTGTAATCCCAACATTCTTTTTTTGTTTTGTTTTATTTTGTTTTTGTTTTTCGAGACAGGGTTTCTCTGTGGCTTTGGAGGCTGTCCTGGAACTAGCTCTTGTAGACCAGGCTGGTCTTGAACTCACAGAGATCCTCCTGCCTCTGCCTCCCGAGTGCTGGGATTAGAGGCATGTGCCACCAACACCCCGCAATCCCAATTCTTGGAAGGCTGAAGCAGTTCAAATCCAGCCTCAGCTCCATCTGGGGTTCCTGGGCTGTATGAGACCTTCTCTCAAACAAAGGCACTTTTAATACTCATAAAATGCCTGCTGGTTTTTGGTAAGATTTATTTTTATTTACATGTATGTATGTATGTGTCTATGTGAGTATATGCCATGTGTGTGCCAGTGCCAAAATTGTCCAGAAAAGAGACTCAGATTCCTTGAAGTTGGAGTTATTGGCAGTTGTGAGTTTCCTGATGGGGTGTTGGGAATGGAACTTGGGTATTCTGGAATGATAGCAAACACTCTTAACCACTGAGCCATCTCTCCAGCCCTACTGATTTTTATTTATTTATTTAATTTACTTTTTTGGTTTTTGAGATAGGGTTTCTCTGTAGCTTTGGAGGCTGTCCTGGAACTCACTCAGGTTGGCCTTAAACTCACACAGATCCACCTGCCTCTGCCTCCCAAATGCTGGAATTAAAGGTATGCAATACCATGTCTTTTTTATTAATTTATTCATTTGTTCATTTTTTTTGTTTTGTTTTTTGTTTTTTCGAGACAGGGTTTCTCTGTGGCTTTGGAGGCTGTCCTGGAACTCACTCAGGTTGGCCTTAAACTCACACAGATCCACCTGCCTCTGCCTCCCAAATGCTGGAATTAAAGGTATGCAATACCATGTCTTTTTTATTAATTTATTCATTTGTTCATTTTTTTTGTTTTGTTTTTTGTTTT